TCCTCTGGTACTACTTGTGGTCATTTCCTCGGGTCCTGTTTGTTGCCAGGGAGAAGAGGCCAAACCCCTCCTCATCACAACCTCCCTTCAGGAAGTTGTAGAGTGCAATGAGGTCTCCCCCGAGCCTCCTCTTCTCCAGACTGAACAATCCCAGCTCCCTCAGCCGCTCCTCATAAGACTTGTGCTCCAGACCCCTCACCAGTTTCATTGCCCTTCTCTGGACACGCTCCAGGGCCTCAATGTCTTTCTTGTAGTGAGGGGCCCAAAACTGAACACAGTATTAAAGGTGCGGCCTCAGCATAGCTGAGTACAGAGGGATGATTACCTGCTGGCCACACTATTTCTAACGCAGGCCAGGATGCCGTCGGCCCTCTTGGCCACCTGGGAGGTGCACCTGCAGCTCCCGCTTACTGCCTGTGTGATTGTGTGAGCACAGCGACTCTTCCCCTGCCTTTGTCTGTGTGAAAGAGCAGCGCGCTTTCCCTCAGCGGTCCCCCTGGAGGTAGCAGACGCTCTCTTGGATCGGGGTTCATCGGTGTGCGTGTTTGTAAGACTTAGGCCTAAAAGCTCTCGTTCTCCCACAACCGGCAGCCCTCCCACTCACGCTCCCACACACGCAGCGTTCCCGCCCGCCCGCTCCTATCAGCGCAGCTCCCCCTGGCGGGCGCCGGGTCTCAATGCGCCGCACTTCCGGACGCCGTGCCTTCCGCTTCCGGGCGCCGCGTCTTTCACTTCCGGGTGAAGCAATGGCGGCGGGTGGCAGCGACCCGAGGACTGCAGATGTGGAGGAGGACGCCTCGCAGCTCGTCTTCCCCAAAGGTGCGCGGCGGGAGGGGCCGGGGCCCGATTCTAAGCGGCTGGTTACAGCTGCAGGTTCTTGGTGTTGATGTAACCTGTAGTTTTTGATCCACGTTTTTTTTACATTACAATATCACTGGCTGCCTGGAGCCTGAGTGAGAACTCAGCACGCTAACGGGCTGAATAATTATTTTGCAGAAAACAAAACCAAACCGGAGGTTTATAAACAAGTGCTGAAGGGCCCCTGGGTTTCTGATAGTGCCCAGTTCCAGCACTCTGCCGCTATTTTGAGCACATGGGGCCTGTCTTAGCGTGTTCAGTTTACTTTAAGAACACGTCGGAGGTCTTCCAGTGGGTATCACTCGTGGATGGATGTTGCATGGCTAAATATTTTCTTCTTTAAACAAATCATACATTACTTAAGTTCTGCCGAAATTATGCGAAGAAAACATAGCAAAAATGTAGAATCATAGAATCGTAAGGTTGGAAACGACCTGCAGGATCATCTAGTCCAACCGTCCTCCCATCACCACTGCTACCACAAACTAAACCAGATCTCACAGCTCCTCATCCAGGCACCTCTTGAACACTGCCAGGGGCGGTGACTCCACCACCTCCCTGGGCAGCCATTCCAGTGCCTGACCACTGTCTAAGAGAAAAATATCTCAGAAAGCCAGAAATTTGGGGCTGCAAATGTAAGAAGTGTGGTCACGCAGACAAGTGAGTTGGGTGGCTACTCGGAATGATGTAATTTTTATCTGTTTTCAGTGTAGGATTCTGCCCAGTCCTTGGTAAAAGGGCAGTGAACCCAGTGTGCTGTTGTTATTTCCCAAAGCTCAGTCACGCACACAGCACCTATAAGTGGCCTTTTTTATCCATGCTTTACTTCTTCTAATGCTGACATTTGCTTGTTCAAACATAGAATTCGAAACTGCAGAAACTCTGCTGAATTCAGAAGTCCACATGCTTCTTGAGCATCGGAAGCAACAGAACGAGAGCGCGGAAGATGAGCAGGAGCTGTCAGAAGTCTTCATGAAAACTCTGAATTACACAGCGCGCTTCAGTCGCTTCAAAAACCGTGAGACCATCGCCAGTGTTCGTAGGTGGGTGGAAGGTTCAGGAATTTGATGTGTAATGCTGGTGTTGTTTTATGGAAGTGAGGTTTACTGACGTTTCCTGATTTGGACCGCTGTAGCTCTGAATCTTGTCTTTCTGGAAAGGCAAGAAATTTGTTCATTGTGTTTTGAGGAGCATTGTGCTTGGTCCCAGTTGAGCCTGCTGAGCCTTTTTGTTTTCCTTGTTTAAAAAACAGCATATTTCAGTGAGCAGGAGAGTCTTCTAGGCTATTTGTAGTGTAATTCTGGGGTCTTTCCACAGCTGTCACTTTGTTTTTACCTAATGAATTATGTAATAGACATTTCTTCCTTCAAAAAACTTGAATGCTTTGTAAAGAAGCAGAGTAAAAGAAGCAGAGTAAAAGAGAGAGTTGTATGATATCTGTCTGGTTTGTTGCTCCTTTGCTTATCTATGTTACTTGCAATTTCACCAAGTTGTTGTCTTTCCTTACAGCTTGCTGCTCCAAAAAAAGCTCCATAAATTTGAATTGGCATGTTTGGCCAACTTGTGTCCTGAGACTGCTGAGGAAGCCAAAGCTTTGATTCCTAGGTGAGCATTATGTGTACCAAAAGGTGTGTTGTGTACTTTCCTGTGATCTAAAGCTAGCTATGGACAGAAACCTCCACAATCCAGCTGTTGATGAGAGAACTTTCCATCTCAATTTTTCTTTACTTACCCATTGATCTGAAGTGAAGCAATCTAAGTATCCCTAATGCACTTCAGATAACATTTACTGGATTAAGAGTGATAGAATTGTAGAGTTGGAAGGGACCTTTGGAGTTGGAAGGGACCATTAAGGCCATGTGCTCCAACTCCCCTGCAGTGAACAGGTACATCCACAGCTGGTCCAGGTTGCTCGGAGCGTGGCCCAGCCTGGCCTTGAATGTCTCCAGAGTGGGACTTCCACCACATCTCTGGGCAATGGCTTAAACTGGGGTTCTCAGCCCACCCAACTGTGTTTGTTGGGTTTTTTTGTTTGTTGTTGGAGCAAACAACAGAGTGTCCCTATGAACCACTGGGTGGATAATGTACAGATGGGGCAGAGAGTTCTTTCAGTATTGTGTCTTGATTTGTTGCCTTGTGCCCTGAAATAGAGGAGGAATGAGACACCCATCTGAAGTACAGGTTTTTCCTTGCATTTTAAGATTTCATATAGTCATAGAATTTTTAAAGTTATACAGACATTTCTTGGATACCTCCACAAAAAAGTGACCACCACTGCCCTGGGCAGCCTGTTTCAATACCTAACCACCCTTTCTTTGAAGAAATTCTTTCTAACCTAAACCTCCATTGGTGCAACTTGAGGCAGTTTCCTCACATTCTTCATAGCAAATCTGGACTGGCTTATGACTATGAGGCCAAGGGGTCTGGTTAAGCCTACGCCTGGGTTGCCCTTCTGATTGCTCCCTGATTGCTCTGGGACATGATTTTGCTCAGGGCCATGATTTTAGCAGACGGTTGTTAGAGTTAGGGTAGTGTGGTTAGGTCATGGTTGGACTCGATGATCTTTAAGGTCTTTTCCAACCTGAGTGATTTTCTGATTCTATGATTACAATGACTTGAAATCATTTTGCAGAAAGTTCTGGAAATGATGGAGTTCTGCCACTTAAACAGGAGGCTCTGCATAGGTGTCTGAAACAAATTCAGAAGGGAACGGGGAGACTGTTTCTAAAAGCTTTAATGCACCCTTATTGTTCTTACCTTGCAGCCTGGAGGGCCGATTTGAAGATGAGGAATTACAGCAGATTCTTGATGACATTCAGACCAAACGCAGCTTCCAGTACTAAAGGTGACTCTCAACCTCTCCAAATGAGCGGAAAAATCTGAGAACTTTGTTTCTCTGCCCTCTGTACCAATCCAGCTCCTGGGCTGAGCAGTGGATAAAGGGAGCTCCAGCACTGTCATACATCCCAGTGTACTGGAGGTGATTGCAGTCCTCTTGGTTTGATAAGGACGCCTGTATTGTGAGGGCACAAGAACTTGAAAAATCTTTTCTTGGTGGCTCAAATATTTGTTTCTTCCATATTCTTCTCCCCAATTTGGGAATTCTGTACACGTTTCTGGTTTTTAGCAGAAATGTTGACCTGTTTGGGTTTTTTTGTTTGTTTGTTTGTTTTCAAAAAGAGTGGGGACACTTACTCTTGACTGCTGGGCGGAATCAAGTCCCGCTGTCTTTCAAATGGTTTCATCAGCATGGTGGACTTTTACAAGCTCAATTATTTTGTATTATTGCTTAGCATAAATTAAAATATATTTCTAATTAAGGTCCTGTGTTTTGTAAACATTATATGCACATTCTGACTTACAAAGACCTCAATAAACTGATCGGCCTGGAAGAAGGAAAACACAGGAAGAAGAGCTGGGACAAACACCAGCATGGGTGCCAGGTGACTGTTCTGCTGATGCGTGGAATTCCACTGATGCAAACAGGAAAGAAATAGGATTATTCTGTTATTTCAGTTCTTCCTGAGCCAGCAAACCAGATTAACCACCACAACTGTTGCTGGATCCAGATATTATAGCTAAGGTAGCACAAAGCCAGGCAGCAGAGTGAGCCTTCCTTTGGCAGATCCCAGCAGCCCTTTTGGCACTGGGAACGCTCCCCAGCTGCTGCTCCTGCTGTAACTCAGAATAGCCTGCAGTGTATTTTGGCATTTCAAGGCATTTTCATCTCTGAAACACGAGATCTCGTACTTTCATTAGAACTTCTGTTGCTCAGAAGGAAAAACCCCACGCCAACAACGCTTTGGAGCAGAAGGAAGCGGGAAGGACCGAGATTCCGCGCTGAGGCTCCGACGCAGCGCCTCGCCGCTCAGCCCGTCTCTTTCGAAGGGGCGCCGCAGAAGAGACGCGGGCAGCCCTCGCGCATGCGCATACCGCTTCGCGCCTCCAGCCGCGCGGGTCGGTCGTGAGGGCCGCCCGACTTCCGGCCGCGCATGCGCACGCCGCTTAGCGCTTCTAGCCGCGCGGGTTGGCCGTGAGGGTCGCCCGACTTCCGGCCGCGCACGCGCAGGCTACGGAGCGACGGGAGGCTCGCGGAAGCGGCGCGCGCATTCCTCCTTGCGCCTGCGCAGTGCCCGCGGCCTGCCCGCCGCCGAGCGGCTCGACGTGGGGCGCGTGCGCCGCCCCTGGCGCTGGTGGGGGCAGGAAGATGGCGGCCGGCCGCGGCGGGGGATCGTGAGGCGGCGACGGCTGCTTCCGGGCCCGGGGGGACGAGGCGAGACGAGCGGCGGGGCGCGAGGGCGCGGTGCGAGACGCCGGCTGGACGGTGAGTGCGGCCGGGCGCGGGGCGGGGCGGGCGAGGGGAGCGCGGTTCCCTCCGCCATTTTTAGGCCGCGGCCCAGGAGCAGGGCGGGAGGCCGAGCGGGTGGGAACTGCGGGACCCGGCCTCGTCCGCCTGCGGGGTTCGAGCTTCGCTGGGCAGCGGGCAGCGCTCCGCTCCTGTGCGCCGTGTGCGGCTGCCGGGGGCCCGCCTGGAGCGCACGTCCGGCTCCGATCGGAATCGCGCTGTTCCTCCTTGGGCCTGCGGGGTGCCGGGCGGGCGCCGCTAGCAGGTGGGGCAGTGCGGGGCAAAGCGGGGCGAAGCGGAGCTCTGAGGGCCGGCACGGCCACGTGCGGCAGGCGCCTACCTGTCCTGGGAGGAGGGTGCGATGGTGGTGATTTCTCAGTAAAAATTAGTAGCGATGACCTCTTAAAGTGTCTTTTTTTTTTTTTTTCTGCTGGAGGCAACTCGCTAAACTTGGGGAAAGTGGGCATTGTTTCTCCTTTGCTGACTCTTAGCTGCTTCTTTATGATTAGATAACTGTATACCTTGAAATACAGTATTTTGCAGCAGTGGTAACTCATGTGAGCGTTTCTGTCTTACAAAAGCTGCCATAGGTAAGTAGTTCTGTACCCCTGGCTCTGTGCCTCATTACGTCTCTAGTTGCAGTCTGGGTGGGAATGTGTTTGTGAGCTTCAGTCCTTCATCCTTCTTGCAGCAGATTTCTCTCCTTTTGTACCTGCCTTAACTCAAAACTGTTATTCCTTTAATAAAGGCAGTTCCACGTGCATATTTGCCAGAGAGTTTACAGTATGCAGTCAGGATTGTGTCAAAGTACTCGGGGTTTCTTCCTCTTCAACTATTTGTCTGCAGAATTGAATTCTGAATATTTTGCTAAAATATATCATCTTTAGTAAATCAGTATATAGTAATAAAATTTACACTCAACTTCTTGACATCTTGTTTAGTTGTGCCGTAGTATTTCTAATGGGTAGCTTTGAAATTCTGGTGAAAAAACACTTTATTTAAACAGCTTCAGTGTGGTAACCAATTTACCTTTATTTTTTTAATTGATTTGCTGTTGGCATTTTTGGAGTTCTCTGCCCATCTGCTCTAGAACTTGGAAGTTGGGCTTAACTTGACCTGCCTCCATGGGACCGTTTCAGAAGCTGATGGAATTACCATATGGAGTCAGTTTTGATAAATAAGTACTGAAAAATGGGGGTTGTGTGAAAAATGTTTGAGCTACAGTGAATTGACTGATATTATCTAGTATGTATTTACCATAGAATCACAGGATGGCTTGGGTTGGAAGAGAACTGAAAGCCCAACCAGTCCCAGCCTCTGCCGTGGTCAGAGACTCCTCCCCCAGCTCAGGCTGCCCAGGGCCCATCCGGCCTGGCCCGAAGCACCTCCAGGGATGGAGCAGCCACACTTCTCTGGGCAGCAGTGTCAATATCTAAATGTCCTCTAATCTAATGAACCAGTCCAGAGGAGGACCTCAAAGATGATCAGAGCTGGAGCACTTCTCCTATGAGTAAAGGTTGAGGGAACTGGGATTGCTTTGCTTGGAGAAGAGAAGGCTGTGGGGAGACCTCATTGTGGCTTTCCAGTACTTGAAGGGAGCATATAAACAGGAGGGGGAATGGCTGTTTGTGAGGGTGGATGGTGACAGGACAAGGGGGAATGGTTTTAAACTGAGACAGAGGAGTTTTAGGGTAGGTATTAGGAGGAAGTTTTTCACCCAGAGGGTGGTGATGCACTGGAACAGGTTGCCCAAGGAGGCTGTGGATGCCCCATCCCTGCAGGCATTCAAGGCCAGGCTGGATGTGGCTCTGGGCAGCCTGGGCTGCTGGTTGGCGACCCCGCATATAGCAGAGGTTGAAACCAGATGATCATTGTGGTCCTTTTCAACCCAGGCTATTATAAACTCTTTGAGCTGCTGAAATCTTCTAATTGATGATTGTGCCTGATGTTTGAAGTTTGCCACTGTAACTCCCAGTGTCAGTCCTTCATATGACGCTTGTTCTTTCAAGCTCTAAAAGAATGGCAGCTACAAAGCAACAGTAACCATTACCCTGTAAAACGTTGGAATTGAAGGCCTGTGCTGAGCACAAGAGGTAATAATGTGGGGATTGTAAATTAAGCTTGAGACAGGGGTAGTTTGCTGTAGCAGAAAGAAGCCTTGGTCAGGGCAGGGAGTGAGAGAGCTTCTGGCTTGTTCCCATCCCTCATAGGTGCCTCACTCTTCTGAGTGACTTGAAAAATATACTGGAGAAGACTCTTGGTTGTGTAGGGACGTGGAAAAGTGCAGTTTAACTTCTTAGTGAGGTAGTTCTGTGTGAAATATTTCACTTTTTTTGTGGCTGCCAGCTGCAGAATCGTTATCTAGAGAATTTCTGTAGTTTGTTCGTTAAAAGTGGAAAAAAAAATAACTCCAGCCTTGCCCAGATACTGCTGTAGCTGATACTTTAGGAAACTGATATCTCTTCTCAGGAATGTTCTGAAAACAAGGTGAAAACTTCAGCTGTACTGCATCTGTGAGTTTTATATTCTTGATTTATTGTGTTTTCCTCCCTTATATTATATCATTTTGTTACTGAAAATTTAATTCAGAGTGGAAGTAACAGAAGTACAGTTTTTGCTGGCATGGTTAATGAAAAAAAAATCATTCACAACTGAACCTCAGGTAAACTGAATGATTTTAGAGCTTGATAGCGGGGAGAGGAAATGGGGAAGTCTTCAAAATGATTAAAGATGTGATATGACTTGAGGTTTCCTCTCTTATAGAGAATCTCTGAAAGTAAGAGCAGAAGAGTAGACAGCTGCTAGCTGAATACTTCTGGGTTGTATTTTGTCTATTTCACTTCATTTTTGAGAATTCGTGACCCCAGGACCATGTAAAACTTAAGGTTGTTTGTTCTTAGAATCATACAATCACAGAATGGCCTGGGTTGAAATGGACCACAATGATCATCTGGTTCCATCCCCCTGCTATGTGCAGGTCACCAACCAGCAGCCCAGGCTGCCCAGAGCCACATCCAGCCTGGCCTTGAATGCCTGCAAGGATGGGGCATCCACAGCCTCCTTGGGCAACCTGTTCCTTGCTCCCTAATGCTTAAAAACAAGTTGGTTTGTGATGGAATTTCATTTCTGGTTCAACCTGCTCCCATAGCCTGCCTGGATGAGCCAGGTGTTCTCTTGTGAAACTCAAAATGTGATATGAAGTATATATTTACACCATTACTTTTGATAGCAATCTCAGTGCAGACAATGCATGCACTGTGGTACAAAGTGCTGGTTAAAATTGTTTTTCAATTTGTGGTAGGGTAATAAAAATCCGAGTTTATAGTGGGAAAAGGCAAGGCCTCATTGTTTTATGGCATGGGGAAGCTTGCACTTGTGTGAAGGATGTGATCAGAGAAGCAGCCATGAGTTCCAGCTCTTCATTGTTTTGCATTGCATTTTTTTTAAGTGTATATTTCAGGTTTCTTTCTGTTGTCTGAAGGGGATTTGTTTTAATGAAAACATAAATCCAATTCCCAACAATACAGAATTTAAAAGTAACAACCAAACCCAAACAGTCGTACTTTCAAATACTTGAAGCACAAGTCTGGATGTACGAGTTTAAACTTACCAAGCTTGATCCTATTATTTTTTTGTATGCTTTCCTTGCAGTTTGCACTAGAGTGATCACAGCTGTGAATGCTCTGAATATGGTGTTATACTATAGGCCCAATTACTTTACACATGGACACAAGCTACTGGTAGTGATTGGTTTTTTTCTGATAGTGCTACTCTGCACCAAAGTATAAAAAGAAATAGGATTCTGTGTAGTGAGAATGGCCAGAGCAGATCCTTCTGTACCCACCACCCTACAAACCTGGTTTCTGCTAAAAAACCAACTAAAAATCTCATGTTCATCAAGATGTCCTGTTGATCAGGAAGGGTAAGTGCCACTTCCATAGTATGGGATAGTCTATTAGTGAATTACGTTGAGTAAGTTACAAGGAAATGTGGTCAGGAATTGGGGCTGTTCTGCTCTAGGCCTTTATTTCTATATTATTTCTATCACAATTTCTCTCTTCTGTAGGAAGAAAGATTTAATGCACAACATCAAACCTTACTGTTAAATAACCCTGGTAAAACTTGCTCTGCTCAAGTGTTTCAGAAAGTTACATGAGAGTGTTCACACGTGAATAGAATAGAGAAAGTGTAAGCAATGTTTTTGTATTCCTCAATCATAAATGAAATAATCTCTTCCTCTCTGTGCGTTTGCATGCTGTGACAAATGACCTATCAAACACTCACATGTTCATCTGCAACTTTTTTTTCATTTAAACATGGTGTTTTTTTCCATACTGCTCCTAGACCGAAACACTTCTCATTTTCAGTGCACTTTTAATTAGTGAATTCATTTTGATAGGAAGAGCAATGTTTGTTGTGACTTCGTTGATGTTATTTAATTAATTTCTGCAATAATTAAATGTGCTGTTTACCAAGGGAAAAAAAAATATTAACTGTTGGGTGTTTGTAATCTGTGGAGTTATGAATTTGGTGTAACCTACAACTTCATTTAATTTTAAAATTACAACCCAATCAAAAAGGATGTTCTCATGCCTCTGTTCTCTTGGTCTGGAGTCCTTGCCCTGTCCAAGCAACTGTATAGGGAGAGCCTTTCTTTGAGCAAAATGAAGGCCTTCTTGGTGACTTCTAATAATCTGTCAGTTCTGTTCTGGTCTGCATCTCACAAACATTGGTTTTGGAAGGGCTGAGGTGGTGGGGAAGGAAGTGGTGGTGCCAGTCACCCACCTCTGCAACAGCCGCTGCACTCAGCGACTGCTCTGTGCCTTGAGAGTTCTTGTCTTAGTTTATACAGCAGCAAAATTCACTCTTAGGAAAGAGCATCCCGAAATGTTTGAGATCGTGGATGTTGAGTGCCAATTTTAGTTTGAGGTAGTCGGTCATAAAACGTGGATTTTGAGCTGACTGTAGTCACTCCCCTG